AATTAGCTAGTTAATGGTATTGTGGAGGATAATTAGTAAAGTAGCATAACCGTAATGCAGTTTAGGTGGATAGGAGGAGACACAAAATTCGGACAAAATTGCCTTCGGAAAACTTGGAAAATAAAACTGTAAAAATCCGAGAAAATCTTCACTGTCATCTCTCTTGTATCGCATGAATTAATTATGGCGATGGATGTTCGATTCAAAAAATCAGTTTTGAGCTTGATTGATGTTATTTTGTGTATCAGATCTGATATCATCAGATTACGAAGCATTTATGAATAATTCCTCTTTTTGGTATAAAACGAGAATTGGGTAGCCTTATATTGTGCATAAGCATGGCGACTATACCTAAAAATCGAAGAGAAGGAGGACGATACTGGTGATGGTGAATACGATTGAGAAGATGGCTGTCGAAGGATCTAGAAAGCATTACTTGATTTGTAGTTAGGTAATGTAATTATTGAAATAATGAACTATTTATTGCAGATGCCGAAAGTATTGATGGTTGTTGTCATATTGGGTGAATGGGTTCTTTTGGTGAGTGGTGTTTGGGAGTTCAAGACTAAGCAAGCCGAGCTGTGCAAGTGTGTTATGCTCACTTCTAGGTTGCGATTTGAAGAGCTCGTTGGCCTAGTGAAGGAAAAGTTCCAGATTTCTTCAACAAAATCTGTGAAGCTTTCCTACCGATGCCCTGTGTGGATGGTGATGGATGATGGGGGGACTACACCTCCAGCGTCAATTACTAGTAATGATGATGTAAATGTTTTTGAGACGATATGTAGTCACATTGAGAAAGTTACGTTGTGTGTGACGGTGGAAGGAGTTGATGAAGTGCGTGGAGTTGGTGTTGAAATTGGTTTCTGTCCAGAGCATGGTAAAATTTGTTCTTCTAAATGGAATTATAGTGAAATATATTGTAGGATCATTGTATTTGACTATCATGAAATATAGCGTGTTGTGAACTATGTATATTATAATGTGTGTAGTTGGCTATCGTGTTTTGCTATGTATGTGGTTTTGTATTAAACTTATTTGTGAATGGCTGTATATATGAACAGGGCAGAGGGAAGTGTGTCAAATGCAAAAGGTAAGGCAATTAATATGGAACAGGGAGAGAATGATGAATTGTCTTCCGGTGAGAGTGATTTCGATGATGGTGATTGGCACAACTTCGCTTTGAAGGACTTTGATGGGGAGAAAGATAATGCAACTGAGGATCCAATTCTAGTGAGAAGAGAGGCTGGCGATTGCTCCCACAAATGGCCTTGTACTTTGGATCTAAATGATTCTGGTGAGGATGCTGACATGGAAGAGGACTTGGTTACAGAGAAGCGTCGGTCCTGTGTACTGAAAAATTGTGCAGCTGAGGCGTTGGATTCCGTGTTTTCCAATATAGGGGGCACTCTGAGAGACGCACCGCCAATGGTGGATGAAAGTATAAATGCAGGTGAGGTG